TATATAAATGGCAATGATTTTTGTATTTATTTGTACTCACCAACACTGTTGAATTTGATTTCCAATTCTACGAGTCTCTTGGATCTTGTAATTAAAGGATTGTGTCATCTGAAAATAATGATATTTTTACTTCGTCCTTTCCCATATATATCCCTTTACTTTCTCTTGCCTGATTGCCCTAATTGATGTTTCAAGTACTATATTGAATAAGACTGGTGATAATGGACATCCTTTTCTTGCTCCTGATTTTAGAGGGAAAGCCTTCAGCGTTTCTCCTTTAATATTATGTTGATAGTAGCATTTATCATTTTCAGATAAGGTCTATCTATACTTAATTTCTTCATTTTTTATGATGAATGGATGTTGGATTTTGTCAGTCTTTTTCAATATCTATTGAGATAATCATGTGATTTTTGTCCTTGATTCTGTTTGTGTGATGAATTGTATTGATTTACATATGTTGAACTATCCGTGCACCTGAGGGATGAAGCATACTCGGTCATAGCATGTGATTTTTTTGATGATTTGCCATAGTCTACTTGCCAGTATCTTATTAAGGATTTTTATATCTGCATTCATTAGAGAAACTTGTCTATACTGCACCTTTTTGCTTGGATCTTTGTCTGGTTTTGGAATCAGGATAGTGTTAATTTCTGAGAATAACTTTGGAAATACTCCTTCCTTCTTGACTTAATATAAATGCATTAGATCTTCCCGGAAGTTGTTGTAGAACTCAGCCATGAAGTCATTAAATCCTTATCTTTTCTTCATTGGTTTATTATAGCCTCATTCTCGTTGACTGTTATTGGATTATTCACTCTTTTACGTCTTCTTGGTTCAGTTTTGACAATTCACACGTATCAAGACATCTTCAGTTTCTTCTGAGTTCTCCACTTGTTTGACACATATGTTCATGAAGTAGTTGTGAATAATTTTCTGGATTTTGGTAGTGTCTATTATGAGTTCAACATTTCCATTTCTAGTTATATTATTTCTTTTGTCTTTTCTTTCCTTTTTTGATAACATTAGCTAAAGTTTGTCTATTTTATTTATTGTTTCAAAGAACTAGCTCTTTGATTCACTGATTCTCTTTTTTAACTTCAGCTTCACTAATGAGCTCTGAGATTTATAACTTTTTTCCTTGTACAATTTGAAGTTCTCTCACCATTATTTCTTGAAAAGATGTTCAAGTACAAGTATAGTTTAATGACCCAGACAGCAACAGATTCATTTTAATATGACTCTGCTTTTATTTCTTTTGTTGGTTATATCTAAATCTTAAATAATTTTACACGAGTACTTGTTAATTTTTTGCTTTAATTTGTTTTCTCAACATCATACATACAGATTATAGTATGTGCATTATGAATTTTCCATCTCCCTTCCTAGTATAGTTTTGTATTTGTTTTATTTTCATTAATTATAACTGTAAATATTATAAAATTTATAATATTATATAAATTAATAATATAAATTAATTATAACTTTAAATATTATATTTGCAACTTTTTTCCTACTTCCCTACTCTTCCTTTCATTTTTTCTTTTCTGTCCATTATGTCTCATTCTTCTCTTGAACATGCTTTTTTCCATGGCCTTTGTAATGATCTCTTATCAGTTCTTATTGCCTTATCTCCAGCTACAATCTCAACGACTTGTTGCCTTTAGCAGAAAAGTATCTCCTCACCTAACTTTCCTGAATTTTATTATTGTATTTTCCCCTTCCTCTTGTACTACTATGTCTCTGCCTCTGTTTCCAACACTTGTTTCTCCCATCTAAAACATCTCGAGTTTAGTTTCTATTCCTCAATTTGTTGGGCCTATACTCTTTACATGCCCCAGATGGGAGCATCCATATTTTAATATGATATCCACTTTTACTATATCCCTAGGCCAGTGATGGTTATCCTATGGCAGGCATGCCACAGTGTACTGTTTGTATCTTTAAAAGTTCTAAATGATTCACCATCACTGCCCTAGACCATTCTTTCATCTAAAATCTTACCAGTTATTTTTGTATTCAATCAATTTCTAACTTTTAGGGCATACAAACAAAAACAGATTTGTGATTTAAATCTACCACTAATTTGTGTGTGTGTGTGTGTGTGTGTGTGTGTGTGTGT